GCTGGCACCCTCGCTGGGTGTTTTTAAAAGACTTAAAAACTTGGCTATTTAGGCAGGCCTCCCCTCCAGTCAGCTAACTCTTTTCATTTTTTTTCTTATCTTATCCCAACCTAGTATTTTTTCTTAATTAATTGTTTTAATTAATATAGAAATTGTATTTTGACTATATATATATTATATAGATCTATTTTATGTTGTAAGCCGCCCTGAGTAGACATGGTCTAGAGGGGCGGGGTATAAATGTAATAAATAAATAAATAAATAAATTCTTGAAGAGGCATACAACCTCTGGCTGAAATCCTGTTGAGTAGCTATGTTTGCATAACTCAATATTTGGCACGTGTTAACTGTGAGAGTGCCAAGGTAGAAGTGCCATTTACGAAGCATTTTCATAGACACATTGCACATTTGGTTTCAATAGGAACTGCATGTGCAATCAACACATAGCCTGGATGTAACACTGACAAATTTATGCCTGCATAACTTTATCTTGCACGGTGATGTACAGGATTCTGGCTTCTGCGTTGTATTCAATCAATTATAACCATTTCAAAACCTGAAAAGAATGCCCTTCATGGTGTTCATAATTATCAGGCTACATTAAGCCAAATAGGTTCACATTAGTATAGAAAAATTGTATTCACATCTATCAAAGGATCTTGCTGATTTTTATACAGTTTTCAGATAATCTATAGATGCTTCCAGGCAAAAAGTGTGTTAAGTGTTGTTTTTATTCAGTCAGTGCCCTTGATCCTTGCAGGGTGTGTGCTAGTCATACCAATCATGATTATACGTAATCATTTTTGAAGCTGGAAAACTATTCTCTGTGCTTTAAAAAACTTCTAAATTATGTCATGCTGTTTTGAGGTGGTTTTAATGAACTGTAGATACGTGTTTTAGACAGATTTTGGACTAAATTCATTATTGATCCAAACTGAAGCAAATATGTGGAAATGAATGGGATGTTAATCACAAATCATTTAAGTTCCATTTTCAGTGGGTATATATTGATTGTATGAGAGCCACCATGCACTAGTGAATAATAGTGCCAGATTAGGACAGGTGACCTAGGCTCAAATCCCTAGATGGCCATGGAAATTCACGGGGGGGTCACCATATGTCACAGATGACGAAGGCACATAAC